TGTTTTTTTTCTTTCTTCTCCCTTCCTGTCTGTTTTGTCGCTCCTTCTATCATTCTGTCTCTCCTAATCTCTTAAGGGAGGTCCGCTTTCCACCTGTAGGGAAGAAAAATCACAAATGAGATCGCTTCAGCATCTCAAAAGTCGCTCGAAACGACAATGGGATTAAATTTAGATTTTTTTTTCCTGAATTCTTGTGCTTATCAGTTTTTTTTTCTATTCATAAAAAAGGAATCTCATAGAAGAGATTTCAGATTGTGCCAAGAAATCAAAGTTCTTATCAAATTCTTCAAGAACTGAATTATCTTAGCTTTATTTCATTTTAATTTATCCACATTTTCTTGTTTGTCTTTTAAAAGTTATCTCGTGTGTTTATTTTAGATTTTTCCTAAATAAATTTAGAAACACTTCTGAGAAGTGATGAACTTTGTCTCATCTTTGCCTTCTAAAATCATTTTATCCTCCTTCTTAAAGTTGTTAGTTGAAACTGAGCTATAAAAGAGCATGCAATTTTTTTGCTGTTATCTTATGTTTCTCAGATTTTTCTCCAGTTTAATGTTTCAAACAGTGCTCAGATTTGCAATCTGAGATCTCCGATGGAACTCAATGATTTCTTATTCAATTCTCCCATAACTGAATTATCTGAGCTGTCATTTGTATTTGATTTTTAATTTATCCTAGCAATCTCTGAGCAATGAAATCTTCCTCAGGGAAGTGCCCTCAGATTTCTCACCCAGGTGAAGACGGGATGTTTTGCCCACTTTCTGATCCGGTTATGTAAAAAAACAAAACAAGAGAGACTTAAGCAGGACAGGCCGTCTCTTGCAGGCTGGTGGATCGCCGTCAAATCCTTTTCACTCAGACTTTTACTTGAAGCCACTCCACACCCCTTACCCATGTGAGGTCCTCCAGAACGTGCGTGCCACGACTGGAGCTGCTGTCCGTGTCTCCCTCTCCGTGTTTGTGTGTGATTTGGGTGGTTGCCTGCTCTGCTCATGTTGGTATTGGGTGCCTGCCTAGTTTTAGTGGGTTGTAGTGTTTGTGTATGTGTGTGCGCACGTATTTGCGTGTGTGTTTGTGGTTTAAACTCTGCAGCGGTGAAGGCATGCAGAAGCGTTGCGCGATGAGGCTTCAGATCTTTCATAGATTAATAACTTTTTTTTGTTTTGTTTCAAATGTAAAATTAATCAGAGGATATAACAGGAACATGAAAAGCCAAGCACATCCAAAAATGCATGACCAAAAAAGTACACAATGTGATGTGTCTTCATTGGACTGATGAGCTGATATGCTCGAAACTTTTTCTCTTTTTTTTTGTTACTTTGTTTAGCATTTTTTAACAGCAGGCTGATTGATTGTTAATTTGATTCTTCTTATTGTGTTTGATATTAGACTTCTGCTTATTCACATAGTGTGATAAGCTCACTCTAGCTGTGTGTGTGTGTTTGTGTGTATGTGTATACTGTATATAGATCCATATGAATGCTCAGAAATGTTCAGTTCTGTCAGTTCCAGTGGTGACTATGCTGTGCTGGAGATCCGTGTGGGTCACAACCTCTCACCCAGAGCAGGACGGCCTGTCATACTCTTTTCCCCTCCTGCCTGCCAATAAGTTAATTGCTTTATTTTTAGATTTGAGTGGGATGAAGCCACCCAGATCCCAGCTGCAGCCCACACAGACTCAATCTACCTGTGACCACAGAAGCTCTAATATTTGATCCATGTACTGTTAGACACAGATATCAACCTTTCATTTCATTGACAAAGACAAGGATTTGTCTTTCCATGAGCGCTCATCTGAAAACCTTATTCTGTTAGTGTAGTTAAGGGTAATGAAGTTTATTTCTCAGCGATATGTCTCGTTTTGTGTCGTTTTTTTATAGTGCAAAAGATGTAAATATTATTTACATAGTAAATTGTGCACAATATTTTATGTAAATTTGTCTTTTTGATAAAATCAATTTATTTGTATTTATTTTGCAATTTGATTGAATTTAATCGCTTTCATTGTAAGTATAATATCAGCACTGTAATTTGCATAATGAATGGAAAATTAATATGGTACTATTTTCACAAATTATTGTATCGGCACTAAAGCTACTTTTATTACCGCTGTTACCGCTCTACCTCATCAGATATTTGCTATACGACAAATATTGAACCGCTTTTCAAATGACCATTTACTCAGTAAACCTACAATTGCCAGAAAAGCACTTCGCCTTTATGAATTAACCAATGTGAACAAGAGAGGACGGAGACGAATAAAGATTTCGAAGAGTCGAGTAAAGCTGAGAGACAGCTTTAAGCAGCCATTATTGTGTTGATTGGTCTCCGAGCTCACACCTAGACCCTCACTAGCCTCCATCAGGCCCACGGGGCTCACATACTCGCTTACACACACACACGCTGGGCAGCTTTTCCTGTTAACAAACTTGAGGAAAATGGTGCAACATCTACTCGTAAAAACATGTGCTGGCGACACACACAGAAACACACACACACACACACACACACACACATCGCTACTTCCTGACTGAATCTTACTGATAATTTGCTGAGGCTCATTTGAATTTTAAGCACTTCTTTAATCTTCAAAGCCTAAATTGCTTTATGAATATGCATGGTGTGGGCAGACTTTAGTTCATTACCTAGTTGTAAATTCTAATGACCATTAGGTCTTCTCAGTAATTGCCAATTGTTTTGCATTTTTGATTGGCCTATTACCATACGCATTCTGAACACATCAGCACGGCCTGTCAGACCTTCTGCAGAGAGCTGTGTATGAGAAAGCATGCGTGTGTTTGTAAGTGTGTGTGTGTGTGTGCATGCTTCCACAGGGGAGGGGGTCCTGCGTAAAAAAAAAGAAAAGAAGCAAAGGTATAAATTGCTTCTGTGCTTTGCTTTTTTTCATCCCGGATTTTGAGCGAGAAATGGAGGATGTAAATGAAAGCAGCATTTTGTATGTGAAGATTGAAAGTTCACCGGGAGATTTGACATATTTAATTTACTTGATGACTCTGCACACCCTCATTAATGCACTTTGCATACAGCGGCGCACTTAATCACTGCTGATCAGACCCGGCTCAGCCCTGCGCTGTAACACACTGCAGAGATAGCAGTGAGAGCCTCGTCTAACCACTCAAATTACACACACATGGAGGATGATTCTACCTTCTGCGTATGACAACATTCACACATTTTTTTTTTCTGCTCCAAACCCACCGTAAACCCCCTTCCCATCGAGGAAGCAGATGTTGAGCACCCCCCCCCCACACACACACACGCACACACTCGCTGGGATTCAAATGCTAGTGCCATTTTCTGAGAGTGATTTGTCTTACTAAGTGAGGCTCTCTGTTAACATGCTGAGGGAAATTAATTAAATCTTTCAGCACGTCGCGTGTGTCCCTCCACATGTGGACATGTGGCTATAATGGTTCCAGATCTCAAACATGCATTCGAAGGGGGGGGGGGGCCCATATGGAATTGCACACACATATCAGTGTATGCATTTCCCAAAATGAAGTTTTATGTAAACAAAGTTCGGGAGGAGCATGTTCAGGTAATCAACCAATCAACTCAAAGGAAGCCGGTATAAATAAAGCTTCTCTCACCTCATGTCTCACGACAAGTCTCTCAGCATTTGACTCCGCCCTCGTGCCGTCATGTCTGAGTTAGAGCTTTTCCCTTCCGATGACGATTCTCTCGTCGCTGATGAAACTCCATCGCAATCCGCAGATCGTTCCATCTCCAGCCTCCTAAAACCGGGGACGCCAGCTTCCGCGATCCTCTCCGTGCACGCCAAGATGCCGAGGACTCCCCTCACCACCGCCGGCGAGAACCCCACCATCTTCCTCCGCGTCTTCGCACTTTTTGACCCACCCAAACATACCTCCCATAAGGAAGTGGATCGTTAAAGCGCCGAGTCGAGGCCTTATTTATTTCCGACGTTAACTTTTCTCGCAGATCGAAAAAGTAGATTTATATAACTGCCGGACCCAGATCGCTCGCCCTTCAGCGTCTCCACCTTCAGTGCCGGGCTCCGCCCACGCGCCACGTCGCCGCAGACCTTCCGCTAGCCTGGGCCGCGCCCCAGACCCAGTCGCGGAAGGGTTTTTCTTTTTCTTCCAGGTCAAATCTCCTCCCCAGCCCCTCCCACCGTGGCACCGTTAGCTCCAGATCTCTGCAACATCAACATCACATCAGCTCCGCAAATGCTTCCTCTCCCTCCCCATGTCGTAATCCAATCGCCAGGTGGATTGCGGCGATATATCCATCACCTTAAAAAACAACACGCAGGTTTTCATCTCGCACATGTCGTTAGCCGAATTTCGTATTTCCTTTAACCATTATACCGAAGTCACATGCTCTGTTTTTCCCATAGACGGTGCGAGCTCAACTATTACATTTCTATCATAGCGGAGCTCGCGCTGTCGTTTGGGGGTAGTAATTTTTCACTTATCACAAATTATTTTCTGCTAAATGTGCCGTCCATATTTATCAATGGAATCAGTGTCCTTACTGGGAAGCGTTGGACTCTGATCTCCATAATCGCGTGTTTTTCGGGTGCCGAAACATCTCTTGTGTTATTAGCAGGTCCGTAAACCATGCCACCACGGCATGTCCGCAAATTAATCCCTCGATTCCTCCCGGCCCAGCACAGATCCTCGTCAAATCCACAGGCCATGTCCCACGACCAGCAAAAGAGGACCTCTCTTCCGGTGGCGACTTTCCGAACAGAGCCACAAACATCGTGTCCAACAGGCAAATCTGTAACTAGTCAAACGAGGGTAAATGCCAAAGACAACGCCATCGTTATCTCCACATTCGTAATTATTGTGGCGGTGCCCACGCCCGTGTTGTATGTCATGTATAAAAAGCTGTAAAGGTGAGAACTATCTCTCATCTCCAGTGAATATCTCCCGTCTGGCTGGAAATTATTCCATCACCCAGTCGTCAACTTTATAAATTACCTGCTGTCCGGTCTCAGCCAAAGTTTTAAACCTGGCGTAGAACGCCAGCCTGCGAAAAACATCATCTTCAATAATCTTTAGTCTTCAATCTTCAATAATCCTCCATGCAGAGCCTGAAGGGGTAGACGGTCAAAAAAGAAATAGTATTAGGTTCTATGATCGGTCCGTTCGAGGCCCCCCCCCCCCCCCCGTTCGACAAATTTCGCATTAGGCCCATAGGCGTGGCTACAAAAAATTTTCAGGAAAAAAGCGCTCGATAATCGACCTCACAGCTCCTCACAACTCTCCACATCCAAGCATCAACAGTCTCATTCCCCTCGAAGAGTATTCAATTAAAATATCACGACATTGACCAAGCTATATCCATGATCAAAACAGCAGGTCGCGGCACGTGGATGGCGAAAGTAGATATCACTTCTCCTTTGAAAGTAATGCCCATCCACCCAGATTAGTGGCATTTATTCGGCGTGATCTGGCGAGGGAAATTTTTATTTTTTCTGTACGTCTAACATTTTTTGCCTAACGTTTACTATTTAGAAGAAAACTCAGAACGAATAGCTACGGGCATACGTCCATCTCGCGAATATGGACATATTCACGCCACATTCACCTATCAGCCGCTATTCCATGGCCAGAGCACAGAGGTCGAAATAATGACTCACCGCACTCCCATAAAACATAAAACGCTTTAGAAATATATCATGACATGCAAACAAAAAATATATTTATTGTGGCTACACTTTAAAAATGGTTTACCTGGTTTTAATAAAAAATTCCCCATGAGCGGGCCCCTATTGGCCGGGCTCACACGTACGTGCATACTCTGCATGCCCAGAAGCTACGCCACTGCGTTGGATCCTTTCCAACAACCATGCAATTCCTCACCTTCTCCATCTGCTCGATGATTTCATAATCATTTCACCTCACGACGCCTTCCCCGCGGCTCACCTCGTCAGGGTGCAAAAAGGCTTCACCGAGCTATATTAGCTCAGGAAAAAAAAAAAAAAAAAAAAAAAAAAAAAAAAAAAATCAAACTTTTTAGCGCCGCCAATCTTACGGACGCTCAAAGCGTTCCGAACGCGAACTCCTCTCGCTGCTTGGCCGCTTATATGCAATGCGCATCATCCCGCAAGGCCGCCCGTTCATCGCGCATCCCCTCGCCCTCTTGTCATCAGTTCACGCGCTGGAAGATCAAATCATCCTATCTTGTGAGTGCAAAAAGGAGCTAAAATTATGGATCACTTTCCTTAATCAAACTGTTCACAGATGCAGCTCCCTCAGTCGGTTTCGGAGGTTATTACCAAGGTCGCTGGTTCGCATCTCCCTGGCCCCCCCAGCTGCTAGACACTCCCAAGTCCTCAGCCTCCTCGGCCCTTTTTGAGCTTTACCCGATCGTCGTCGCAGCTTCCCTATGGGGGGAAAAGAATGATCATCTAAAGCTTCCAAATTCATTGCGACAACGAAGCAACCATACATTGCATCAATAAAGGTCGTTCTCGCTCACCTGTAATAATGCCACTCCTCAGACGCCTCATCCGGTTCTCCGCGTGCGATCAGTTCATTATTAATGAAAAACGCGTCACAGGTGTTCTCAACAAATCGCTGACTCTCTCTCCCATTTCTATTTTCAGAGATTCAGGATGCTGGCACCAGAAGCAGACCCCGTTCCAACCCCAGTACCTCCTTATTCTCTACTAATCTTCCCATAAACCATCCGTTGAAATTCCCTTCTGGTCACGTCCATCGTTTCTATCCTGCAAGCAGTTTCTCCCAGAACAACCCAATCATACTACACCACGTGGAAATTTTTCAAATTATTTCACCTCTCGCATTACCTGCCGTTTCCCGATTTTTCTCTTCTAACCTTTACTTCCTTCTTATTTCACCTCAACCAAGTTAAAGGACTCCAAGCCGGATCCATAAAAAGCTATTTAAGCGGCATTCAATTCTTTCACAAACTAACTTATGGTAAGCCCGCCCCTGCTATCAATAACTTCCAAACGTCCCTTCTCATTAAAGGAATTCAAAGAACTCACCCCACTCGCCCGGATACCAGACAACCCATTACAATTGATATACTCGCCAAATGCATTTCATCACTCCGTCTAGGATACCACTCCACCAACACAGCGCGCACATTAGAAGCTATGTTTATTTTAGCTTTCTTCGGCTTCTCCGTTGCTCAGAATTGACAATCACATCCAATTTCAATCCAAACATTCACCCTACCATTTCAGATTTGCAGATCGTGGATAACGAAACTATATCTTTCTTCATCAAACAAAGCAAATCAGATCGAGCTAAAAAAGGTCATTTTGTATATATTTTCAATCTGCCGACTCCCATTCAACCGTTGCATTCCCTGCTAAATTACCTTCAGTATAAACGTTCCACGCTAAAATCCCCTCTCGATCCACTCTTCACAGACGACTCCAATCATCCAGCCACGAGATTCTGGTTCCAAAAACATCTCAAAGCAGTCCTCACCAAATCTGGCATCTCTGCAAACCAATTTTCAAGCCATTCTTTTCGCATCGGCGCAGCAACCAAAGCCGCACAAAAAAGGTCTTTCCCAACAACAAATCCAAACCCTCGGTCGTCGTTGGTCATCTGAAGCTTTCAATACTTACATTAGATCCAGCCGCTTCCACATCCGAAACGCTCACCAAGCCCTTACTAATTAATTAGTTAATTTCCATCACCTGTTACGCTCCGTTCATCGACACCATCACCGTATTCCACGCCCGCGTCGTAAGCATATCCAAATTACGGCGTAACATTTTAAAATTTGCAGGCTCCCCCGTTCGTACGAAGTGACGGCTCCCCGCTCGTGGGTCGGGCTCGTCCCCCTTTCCGAGCCGCTGGTCGAGCCCTCCAGTCCGAATCGCAGTGAGAGCCTGCCTATTTTTTATCATCGTTGGACGACCGCGCTCGTGTCGCCGCAAGGGCTCCCCGTTCGTTGGGCCGCGAGAGGTCTATTCCCGTGCCCCAGCACCCTTCGAAGCGCCGGTCGAGCCCTCCCGACCGAGTACAGCGGGCGCCCCCGTTCAACTGGCGAGGCTTACCCTTCCGACGCTGTGTGCACTCAAGTTCCCGTCGGATGCCGCGAGAGCCCTCCCGGTTGAACGGCTTAACTCGTTCCAATATCCCGCTCGTATAAATCTGGCGTCATCGAGCTGTCAGTTCAACTGCTGGCGGGGCTTATCCGTCCGATGCTGTGAGCATCCAAGTTCCCGTCGGACGTCGCGAGAGCCCTCAATGGTCGAACGGTCAAGCTCGTTCTTTAGTAATTACCTTCTCATGCCCTTCACTTTTTGGGGGGAAATATTTTTACGCTCGCTGTCCCATACCTTGCTTTTTGGGGAGTACTCTGGGTTCGGGCAAAATTCCGAGCTCGGAGCCCTCCCCCGAACAGCAAGCCAAATACGCATTAAAATTATATTTGATTTCCTGTACGTGTGAACTCGTGAAATGAAGTTTTATGTAAACAAAGTTCGGGAGGAGCATGTTCAGGTAATCAACCAATCAACTCAAAGGAAGCCGGTATAAATAAAGCTTCTCTCACCTCATGTCTCACGACAAGTCTCTCAGCATCCCTCCACCACCCCATCACCTCACTCTGGGCTGGGTCTACCCCAGTATAGGGGGGAGTACTCTGGGTTCGGGCAAAATTCCGAGCTCGGAGCCCTCCCCCGAACAGCAAGCCAAATACGCATTAAAATTATATTTGATTTCCTGTACGTGTGAACTCGTGAAAGAGAGACTGTCATATGTAATTGAACCTGGAAGAGGCTGCTTGTGGACTAAAAAATGTCAATCAAATAAATGCATATTCTAATGCATGTATTATAATGAGCAATTAGAGGAAGAGAGCTGAAATAAATACAATTTCAATTATATAAAAAAAAAACCCTAAAGGGAAATCATTTAAAATAAAAATATTTTGCATAATACGTTTTTTTGTTGTTGTTCCTTTTCCTTTCTGCCCTCGTCGGTTTATGTTAAAAATGCTTCGAGGGAGCACTGAAACCTACATTGCAAAAGAATTGAAAAAGAATTCTTAATCAAGGTAAAAGTAAGTTGTGTATGGCACGGCTGCTTGGTTCATTCCTTGGACAGACCCGCTGATTTCAGGAGAGGAGGGGGAGGAGAATGGACTCGGGCCGGTGGGACTCGGCAGGCGCTGTTTCCTCCGGACTCCTTTAGCCCTACCCTGACTGTGAGCACGCTTCAAAGTTGTTAATATTCAGCTGGGAAACCGTATCCAGAACACAAATAAATTATTAAGTGCATGAACTTTTTAGGCAGTAAGATGAACTGATGGGGCACATCTGTGAGATCCAGGGTCTTTTTTTATTTGTGTGTGTGTGTGTGGCGTGGTGTAGTATGGGTTTCTTTGCATGTATGTGTGTGTGTGTGTGTGTCTGTGTGCATGTGCGGAGTGGATCTGCCCTTTCCGACTTCCCAGCCTCTGGTCTCCGGCCAAGGGCATGCATAATTGATTCCAAATGCGCTATCATTTTCTTTATGTAATTGCCTTAGTAAGATATGATGAAATCTAATGGATAATTTATCGTCTCAAAATGGGTAAAGAAAGAACGAAACGGCTGTGCATGTTTAGGGGAAGAGCTTTGGCTGTCCGTTTGACTCCGTCCCGGGCGGCACATCTGATCTCTGTAATGCGGGTTGATTAGTTCTCTTTTCTCCTTGATTAGCGGACTTAAAAAGCAAATATCTCTCCATCCTGAGGGCTTCTCTCCGACCATCTGTGTCTAATTCCGTCTTGAATTCTGCTTTAAGCTCTTTTCCCTCTTTCTCACCACCTCTTTGCACCTGTGCAGCAGAGAATGTGTTGTCTTCCTTTGGGAATTATGTTTGTTGTTTGATTGAGACGTCTTGCTCTGGACCGCTTGCAGTCAGCTTGTGTGATCTGTTGTATGCCGCATGCATTCACTCGTGTGTGTGTGTGTGTGTGTAAGTGTGAGATGAGATCCTGGCAGAGGCTCTGGACTGTTTGTTTCACAGTGGGGGTTGTGAACCGTGTCTGTTTGTGCTCTGAACAGGAACCTATCCCTGATGGGTGCTGCTGTCTCTAGTCTGTTGCATGAGCTCATACAACACACACACACACACACGCACGCATGCATAAACACACAGTGGGGCTTTACCTGTGTATTTGGATCATGCATGATATATAGACAACCTGCTAATGTTGTGTCTGCCTTAATCCTTGTATCCGTTTACAGCAGAAACCAGGAATCATCTGAAAAGTGGGAGGGGACATATTGTAAACTTTATCAGGCTTATGAATATTAATTAGTTGACGTAACATTTGTTTGGTTAATGGATTAATGTTTACGTTTGTGTGTTTGTTCAGTCATACTATCGAATAGCACGAGAACTGGAAACTTTTTCTTTTTTTTTTTACTTAAACAGCTAAGTCAGATTCTCAAATGAATGACTCTTATGTGACGGTACTGTTTTAGTCAAACAAAAACACACCATTTTACAAGTAATTTTTACTTTTACAAGTAATTTTTACCTTGTCTAACTTGATGAACTAAGAATGGATAGAGTGCTGTTGTTGTGTTTAATGCTCAGGAGATCAAGGAGTGTTTCTGATTGGTTGCTTTCTTTGTTATTGGCTCTTTTGTTTTAAATTCATTGCATGTATTATGAAATCAGCACTTGTTAACAGTTGTTTTTTTTCCCCTTAAATATATCCCAAAAGATTAAGAGGAACTTTCCAAACATTTCTGATAGTATGGTGACATGTCTTATACCACATGATTTATCAACTGCATAGAACATTGTGCAATATGACAAATGTGTTACCTGACCGAGGAAATGTATGAAAAGAATATATAATGCTGCCTTTTATTGCGAGACAAAACTGCAGTGAAATCGCCCTCTGTTTGAAAATCCCTGCAAGCAAGGACTAAAATACTCTTAAATCCACTTCTTTTCCCCCTTTCTTCTGCACTCTCAATCCTTCTCCCTCCCTTGTTCTTTTATACGTTTCCCTCTCATATGAGTTTCATTCCGTTGCATGTCATTCCAGGGAAAATCCAGGAGGCGTATGTGTCTGGACACGTCTGAGGCTAATGCTAACCATTCTTTTTATCTCTTATCGCCCCAGGTCTTTCTCTCACAAACTCTCATTTTCATCTTTAATTCTTAATTTTTGTCTTTTTCCCCCTTATTTTGTTATCACTCTTTATTAAAGTCTCACACGGTGTACACATTGAAAATCTAACATTCAAAATCCATATTTAACCTGAGAATAAATGATGTTTTCTGAAATAAAGCTATGTTATGATTTAAAATAAGAAACTTGTCATATTGATCATGTGATTCTTTGTATAGACTGTCAGATGTTCTTGCTTCCATTGAAACAGGGATTCATGCAACATGAGTGCTGCTGTCATTAAAACTAATACGTTCTAAAAAGCATATTTCAGCTGATAATATAATTTGTCATTTAAAATATTTAAATACATTACAAAAATGCAAACTAGAAGCATTTCACTTTTTGGTATCTCATAAAACAGAGGAAGAGATGGATCCAGGTTAGAGAGGGCCTGGTCAAGCACATCTGTGCCTGTGAGGGGGCATTGCAACGGGGGTGGCAGAATGGAGGGGGCATCCACCACACAAAGACAAAATTGTCCAGTGGGTCCATTAGCCTCCTTGGACTCAGTGTGGTCAAACTGGCTGAGCCAGACAGGATGATAGATTGCTTTGTCAGAGTCCCAGGGCGAGCCCTGAACCTGAAGTACTTTGTTTATCTCCAACAAAAAGAAAAGGCTTTAGAATAATCTACGTCTGTTTCTTTTTGGGAGAAAGAGAGAGCGGCGAGGGTTTGAGGGGGTGAGGGAGGTGCTGGTTGAAGGGGGAGTGCTGGGGGCCCAATGGTGGTTGTCCATTAACAGATGAACTTG